TCAATAAATTCCAGCTACTGGAAAATGACAATAAGTCACACCCTTCACAGTAATATCTACAACCATTAGAGAGGGGACAAGGACAGACCATTTGGACTGGGCTAGAATAATATTAGAATGCTTCACATGGAACTTCATTAGGTTCAGGGAAGCCTGTTTCCTCTTCACAGATAAATAAGCGGCATCTCTGAGGGGTGAGGTGGCTTGCTGATGGAAAAGGATTAACAAAACCATTCAGCTTCTGCATGCGAATGTGACCTTGGGGTAACCTTCTAACTCTGTTCCCCTGGAAACCTGATAAAGATAGAAAGTCATTCTGTTACTAAGCAACATTGCTCATGGTAAAAATGACCCTTAATTGTTAAACCACATCTGGACGGGGAGGAACCGTAGAGGAAGCACAAACACCTCTTGGGAACACCACCATTTTGGGCTTTTCTGAGTGCTGAGACTACTGATTGGGCCTGATCCTGTGGGAATCCTACAACTCACGCATATGGAGCTGTTTCAATGGACATGGGCTTGGAGTGTGTGGCTTTTAAGCTAGAGGGATCTGTGCACCTGCCCCATTTAAGTCTAAGCTATTCACACCTAAGCTATTCCCTGTGGTGGGGAAGGGACTGCACCTGTAAGGCTGTGTATCTGTGGACAGCTGCATACACTGGTGCAAAGACCTTTTCCTGTGGGCTGGGGACATAGCTCAGTGGTAGTGCCCTTGCCTAGCATGGTTTGATGCCCTGCACTGAGGAAAAAAACAGACCACTCCTATGGAAGAAAAGTCCTTGCCCTGCCCTGCCAGTAATCTGATTCCTGTCTGCATCCTTCTGAGTAGATCATTGCCAGGTGTGGCCTGTGGTGGCCTCCTGAGGTGATCCTGAGCAGATGCTCCATGGATTGCTGCATTTGTCTGAAGCCACACTTCTGGGAAGTGGCAGGGCCAGAAATCAAACTCAGTAGTCTGCCTTCAAAGTACTCACTTTGCAGGCTCAAACCTTTTGTCCCGAGATAACTGTCCTCTGGCCCTAGAGACTGGAGCAACTTCCTTCCTGGCTGGAATTAGCCCTCCTCTAGCGCCCTAGGAAGTTCCTAAGTTTGGTAGCATCTTGTCCATCTGCCTGTGCAGCTAACTGTTCATTGAATTCTGTTGCCAGGCAATCTCCTAGAGAATTCTTTAAATTCAATGATGCCACTTTGGTTCACACCTCTAACCTGATTTTCTAGGCCCTCTGCCAAAGATGAATTTTGGCCACAGGATCATGCAAATACACAGCTGACTCCCAAACAGGAATAATTATCATGTACTGAGAGAATCAGGCACCTGAGCTCTCTATGGCCTGGGGTCTCAGCCTCAGGAATGACCATGGGACACCCCTCCCCATCATGAAGGCAATCTTGAAGAAGTTCACCCTGCACAGGCCACCAAAGAACACAAGTGCAATACTGCAGGGAACCCAGTGGGTGTGCTCTCAGCTTCACACCTGGACCAGCAGGCTAGGGCGAGTCATCCCTTCCCAGCCTGCCTTTCCTTTTCTCTAAGCAAAAATCTGGGAATGGAAATCAACACAAATGATGTCACTTCTCAGAAGTCCTCCTGGAGTCTTCTTGGTTATATCCTCTCTGTCTTCACAACTCAGCATCTCTCTGATCTCACTGCTCCTCCTGAGGCTGCAAGTCCCCTGAGAAACTGCATCTATACCTTTAGTCCTCTTGGTCATTACACCCAGCTGGACATATCTCAGGTGCTGGACATATGGCAGGTGCTCCTCAAATGGTGGCAAAATGAAAGAAACAGGTAAAATGGGGCACTCCAACCATATTCCCTTGTGCACAACTCAGGCTACTGAATTAATTCCATCTAATCAAAGTATACTTTCATATCCGAATCCCAGGTAATGGCAGGACATGGGTAACTCCTCTTTGGTTCCATCTCCAGATCATTAATGCAGATAAATAATTTGCTTCAAAGTGATACATTTATAGAGATTAAAATGGTTCCAAAGTTACTCAGACACAGCAATGACTCAATCTCCAGCCACATCCACATCTGGCTCTTTTCTTCTGCCCATGATGCAAACAGCAAGAGAGCGAAACAGAGAATGAGTACCAGGGGAGGGAACCCAGCAGAAGGCACAGATGGCCCTTACACTGAGGACGCCCAACAGCCAGTGCAAACAAGAATTCATCCACACTGCAGAGCTTAGTGATGAAGGACTGCAGATTGGCAGAGGGAAATTGAGGCTGCAGTAGTTAAGCACCTAGAATGCAGACAGCTTGGTCTCAAACCCAAGTGCTTTTTTACTGTGCCAAGGCCACTGATGGTTACTTACAGCAGAGTGGCATTCAAGAAGGTGAATTTTTAACAAACAGTCCTATCAGCTTATTAAAATAATTTGGATCATTTCAAAAACTAATGTGTGTCAAGTGTGTCAGAAAAATATCCTCTCACACATTGTTGATGGGAATATAAATATAAGTATATATAACCTTTTGGGAAGCAAAATTTAGAAGTATTAAAACAACTGTGAATATGGGTATAACTTGATGCACTATTTTCCCTGAAAGGATTGTGTACATGTAAAAAATACAAGAACATTCATCTAAGCAATTTTTATAATATCAAGAATTAGAACCAACCCAGCTAAAAGTAGTTAAATACATTAAGGTAAATCCATACAATGGAGTATTATGCAACCATTATGAAGAGAATGCCTTATGCACAGACAAATAAAAAGCTGCCCATGATTTGGTGATTTTATTTATAAGATTTAAAAAGTTATATCAATATGTTAGTGTGCATGTACATGCATAGAGCTCCTGAAGAATTAAGCAAGGAATTGTTCATAAAGCAATAGTACCTGGACAGTGCCTTAGGATAGTACCTGGCAAACAGTAAACAGAAAATTTTACCTATCAAATTGTGACAGTATATGCATAAAAAGGAATTTAAGTGATAAATAGTGGCTATTTCTAGGAGGTGGGAATGTGTAGGGTTTTTTCCTTTTTATAAATTTCTGTATGATGTGAATATTTTTATGTGAGCATAATGAAAAAATAATAAAGATATGCTTTCTATGAGATGAAGAGAACCATATTATTCAGAAAAGACTATCTTCCACATGTCTAGGAGTCAGTCTAGGAAAACTAAATGTTTCAGATTCCTATGATGGACCAAATACCTGAGAAATGTTCTAGATTCCTGACAGTGTTAAGCTGTTCAGAGAATGTAAATGAGTGGACAGAGGAAGAGGAAATGGGTAATGTCACAACTGGTTGCAAAGACAGCTACTTAATCTCTGTCAGACATTTTTGGACTATGGATGGGGACGGCAGCTTATGCCAAACACCTTCCCAACTCTGTCCTCACATATCCACCTGCATATCTCTGGCTGGCCCTCAACAGGCAAGACTCCAAGTGCTTGTTTTCCAAAGCCCAGCTCTCTTCTTGTTTTGGGACCAATGTACCTGAGTTCAAATGCAACTCCACTTCTCCCTGTCTTTTGTGTGCCCTCATCAAGTACTAAAGCTTTCTTGTTTTAGTTTTATTCTTTGCAAACTGGGGATCAATGAGGCACATACAAGGTAGTCAAAAAAATTAGCTTTTACTTACTGATGCAGAAAACCAAAGCATCCCCCCCTCTCCCCCCACTCCTCGCTCGCTGGCTCACTCTGTGTATAATATGTATATAAATGCATTGTGAGAGTTCTGGAGGTATAAATGGTTTACACTGGTACTCATTAAGATGAATATAAAGGAGAACTTTAATATATACATACCCTTGTACCATTTTACCAGCTTATGTTATTTTTGTAATCTAAGAACATGTAAAAAAATATACTTGGATATTGTAAAGGAAAGGAAAGGAGAGGCTGGAAGAAAGGGGGAGAAAGAGGGAAAAGAAAAGTAGAAGCTGGATCACAAAGCATCTTGACTGGTTCAGACATTCTGGTTGGGACTTCAGTGCTAGTGAGTTCCCAGTGCCTTGGTCGGGAAATCTGCCATATATATCTGTCCGTCCCTTAAATTTTTCCTTCATATTTTGGGGAAAAGATAACATTGATTAGCAAATTCTCAGGGGAATCCAGTGCCACTGAACCAAGTAACCACTGGTTAGAGAAGTGGGTGGAGAGGAGGTCTTCCCAGCTTCCAGGAGCACTTTAAGAACTGAGGAGAGATCTCCTAGGTCTCAGGGAAATGCAGGAACATCATTCAGGTAAGCCCTGGGAAGCTTCCACCATACCAGGGAGGAAATGCTCCCAAGATAATTGGGCAAGTCCCCAAAGAACTCTAGACCACTACCTGGGAGGACTGAAGGAGAGGTCTGCCTTTCACTGAAGAATCTTCTAAACTGCCTCAGTTTCTCCAAGGTCTCTAGACATAACAGGCTTACACAAACAAAGGTTTGTTTTACAGCCTTATTTGCAGGACTTCCCCAGGGCTATGCACTTTTTCCCCCCCATCCTGAAAGTTCAGTACTATGGAGAGTAAAAGTATCCTGTCCTTTTATGGCTAAAGTTGCATCACTTCAATCCCAGGAGAAACACCCCCCAGCTCCTTATGTGCAGCCAAGATCTTCACTTAGCCAACCCACATTCCTGGGTTGGCTTTTTCAAAGAGTGAAAACTCCCTTATTCCTAACTCCCTGCACATATTTCTGGTGGGTAAAAAGCTCACCAGCTCACAAAGGGCATGCCCCAGGAAGCTTGCATTTTTGGAAAGTCACCTAATGCACAGTGCAGATTCTATGAAAATTTACTTTCAAATTCCAGATGCTATATTGCTATGTGTAGCCAGGTATTCTTGCTGGCAACTCTGAATATAACAATATTTCCCCCATTTATTAATGCCCAGAAGAAGAAAATTCCTGCCAGTCAAGTATATCCTTAGGACCCCCTTCCTTATCATCCTGATTTGCAATGCTGACCCTGACTCCAACCAAACTCACCCAAAGGAACAGGAGAATGGGGTAAAGGATCCTCAGAAAAATTAGAAGATGACTCACCTTTCTCGTGGCTACTTGACGATGGTAGGGGTGGGGGTGGGGAGGTGATGGGTTTAGACTTGTCATAGTTGTTAAAGCTCTGGCTGCGCCGGTTGTTAGCAGTGGCTGACCCTCCGCGTGTTTTGGCCTCGCTGCCCGCAGCAGATACCCTCGCGGTAGGACCTGGAAGTCTAAAATGCAAAAGAAACAGGGTTGTGCACTCAGTCTCAGGAAAATGGCAATGTCCCAGGAGAAGGAACTGCAACCATGCAGGGGGTTAGGGGGAAAAAAAAAATCAAACCCAGCTCAAACACTGCATCTGTGGAGGTTTGGCAGTCAAAAGACTTGGTGGAACCACTACAAACATCTAGGCTAGTAATGACCCCAGCAAAGTCCAAAAGCAAAATGTGAACAGCAATCCTTTGAGCAAAGAGAGAAATTCTTAAGGGAAAAAAATATATATGAATATATTTGCTAATTAGAAATACAAAGTTCATCTTCCTTTCCTTCTGGGAAAGGGTAGTTTTTACTTTGCAATAAGGTCAAGTCATGTCACCTCAAATTTCATCAAGTGTAGAACATAAAAGTCTAACCCTAAACTCTTTACCCTGTGTGTACATCTCTTCTGGAAAATATTGAAAACAGTATTGGCCACATCCAGGTAAGTAGGTATGAAGGACACAACTTACAATGTTGAGGAGAAAGTTGTTATCACTCAGAACCCAATACATCTGCAATGAAAACTGAAGGCCTAGTTTCAAACCTCTGTCCATTTTCCATTAACACCTGACAACCTGTCTCTGTGGCATTACTTTTTTCTTGCAGGGGGAGGAGGAGGGGTTCTGTGGCACTAATCACTGAGCAACTAATCATCCCTGGCTCTTTTAATTTTTTTTTAAATTTGAGACAGGGTCTCTTCTAAATTGTGTAGGGCCTCACCAAGTTGCTGAGGCTGGCTTTAAACCTATGATCTTCCTGCCTCAGCCTCCCCAGTTGCTGGGATTATAGGAATGCACCATCATGCCCAGCACTGTGGCATTACTTTGAGGCTGAAGCCCAGTTTCTCCACACAGTTGATGATAAAATCACAATTCTTTCTGTAAAACCAGCAGGATTTGGTCTGCCTAAAGACAAACACACACTTTCCCTTGAAATAAAACACCTCGTTTCGGATGGTTTTAAAAATAAAATCACCAGACTTCTTTGTAATATGTCTAAAGATATTATGGCCCATTCCCCAAAGAGTTAAGGGTAAGACTCCCTGAATCAGAATTTTGGTCCAGAGACTTACAAAGTAGGCTGTTTCCAATAATTAAAGTTGAAAGATGAATAAACGATGAAATATTTAGTTATATCTTTCTGTTAAAACCAACTGAGCTGTGCTTAAAAGCAACTGGAACCTCAGCTGACTAGTATCAGATCCAGTGATCAGTCTGAATTTTCAACTCATAAAGCTTTCAGGCTTCTCTTTCCATGCAACTCCATAAGCAGCAAAGAAAGTCCTCAGTCTGGAAGCATTTTAGATATAAGCAGGCAATCACTTTAAACTTTTTCTTGTTGGCTGAGCAAGAAAGATGGTTGCAAAATAAACAGGGAACATGAGCTGGTGTGAGAGGACTGTAAAATTTATCCATTTAAAAAGAAGCTGGCCCGATTCCCTGACTGGGAGCTGAGAGAGATGGAGGGGGTTCACTTGTCCTCAGCTAGTGACAGTGAGGTGTTGAAGGCATTGTTTCCCACTACACCAGAGTTTGCCCCCCTGTTAATTTGCCTCATCTTGTTTGGAGAGGAGAGTTATCCCACAAAGGCAGGCTCAGAATCGGGTGCAAAAAACCAGCAGTTTCAGTGCCTGTGTTTGGGGTCCTGATATGACTAACACAGCTGGTGAAGGAGCTCCAGCCATGGGATCTTAGGACCTCTTGGTTCTGCTTCCTATGAAAGTAGTGTCTTGCAGGCCCTTCAAGTCAGGGTTATCTGAGCACTCACATCCAAGAGTGCAGATACGGGTTCTTGGATTGGACTTATTTAACCCAGCTATGGTCTACAGGAGTCATTATGCCCACAGATAGGCCTGGAAAAGAATTATGGACCTGTTTCAAGAATGGTGTCACAGCAATGGTATTAACTGGTACAGGTAACAAGGGTCACAGTATTCTGCTTCAAAATGGGGAATTTGCGAAGAATAGGGAGACAAACAAGCAATGAAGAGGAAAAGATGCATTCCTTCCAGAGTTCCTGGAGAGTCCCCATTGTGCTCATCCAAGACTGAACCCACAGAAGATTTTTAGGACAGATTATGGACTCTACAGAGCAGAGAATAGGAGGGGACAGGTACAAGCCTGAATCAGGTAGGTTGTCAGGTCCTCTGTGAGGTAGTTGTGGTATAATGGATAAAATACAGGATTTTCTACCCTCGAGACTTTGGACCAGTCTCAAGACAACTCTGAGATTCATACTTTTTCTTCTCTTTTTTTTAAATTTTAGTTGTCTATGGACCTTTTATTTATTTATATGTGGTGCTGAGAATCAAACCCAGTGCCCCACACATGCTAGGCAAGTGCTCTACCACTGAGCCACAACACCAGGCCTGAGATTCATGCTTCTTACCTATAACTTTGGAATAATTATAAACTACCCAGTGAGTTAGTTGTAAATTTGAAATAAAACTTAATGTCCTGTTATAAGTACTTATTGTATGTTATTTTCCCTTCTTATCCTCTCTGCTGAGCACAGATTCATAAAGGAATTGGACACTTCCATAAAGGAAACCTGCAACGGTACAGGAAAGAATTAGACAAGAAAGGAAATAGCAGGGTCTAGTTTAAAGGATCAGAAGAGAGGCAGACAGAACTCATCATATGAGATCAACATTTTCAGAGAAACAGACTTTGTCAAGCAGGACTCTTCATCTAACTAGAGATGTCTGGATTTACAAAGACAGTTCTGGGTTTCCTATAGGTGGTCAAAGTCAGTTTATCTTCAATGAGGCATGGACCTAAACGCTCCTTTGATGGGAGTGGCATATCCCTTGGATGGCTGCAGATTTGTGCCATGTCTTCTAAGACACAGACAAGGAGCTCTTGAAGGCCTTGAAGACAGCTGATAGAGAAAGGTTGGCACTCAGCCACCAAAAGTCACTACAAGGCTCCAGCCAGCTCATGTCACCCACTACCAAGCCATGATATTTGGCTTGACCAAATCAGAAAACCAGGTGGAGACCAAGTAGTATCTTCAAAGGTTCATGGAATTGATGCTGACATCGTAGTGTGAAACTTGGTTTCTGCTGTGAATGGACTTGGACTATTGCTTGTTCCAAAGTTAAGCCCCCTCCCTCTCTTCCAAATGTTTAGCAAAGTCCACCTCACATACAAAGGCTGTAAACGAATGTGTGGTGGGTGAGAAGAACTCATCCACAGGGGAACCAAAACACCTCTTAGGATAATGAATTGATTCATAAATGGAATTAATTCAGACTGAATTTTAAGTACAGAATTCCAAGGCCAAAGAACAACCAGAGAATGAAGATTCATGTGCAGTCACAGGGAGACACTGGACTGTCTACGAGCTGAAGAAGGGCAGAGCTAGCATGCTTAATCTTACTTAGATTTTAAGGGGCTGGTTGATCCCAGCTGATATCTAGGTTACATGTACATTGATTAACTCTGCAAAGTTCAAAAGTTAATTCAGAGCAGGAAAATGATACCCTCATAGGTTGGTGGGATGACCAGGAACCCCAAAGAAAGACTTGGCATGTTGAAGGGAAATGTGACTAGGTGACAAAACACAGCAGGCAGAGCATGCCATGCAGAGAGAAAACCCATAAAAAGCACAGAGTAAAGACTCCATGTGTCCTGACACTTGGACACAGCATGGAAGGGAATGAGGCTGGAGAAGGGCAAGACCTTGTAGGTCATACTATGAAGCTTGGACTTTGCCCTGCCCTCTAGAGATGAGGCATTAATTAAGAGGCTGAGAGCGGAGCTGAAGTTAAAAGCAGAATATCTTTTCATCTACCAGTGACACAGACTCTAGGCTTTTGGCTAAACATTTTGAAGTTCATTAATGTTAACGTCCCTGTTTGTCACGGAACTCGTATCAACCTCCAGCCTGGGAGCATATGCTGTCAGTAGCATTAGAATCCTGACTTGCTGAGAAGCTGGGTCTTGCCCACATGGAAAAGCTACAGGATCTCAACAGATGCTGCCCGCTGTGCCTGCCTTGCTAGAGCCCGGACTGCGAGAGTAGAGCCAGGCAGGTCAGCCTCATGCCATTCACAGCACTGAAGGGTCCCAACAGCTCCTCTCGGAAAAGAACTTGACCTCTCATGATCATTCCATGTTCAAAATGACAGAGGGCACAGATGGGTTCTCTGGAACACACACATCTTGCTTTTTTTTTTTTTTTTTTTTAAATTAAGTTTAAGGGAAGTGGTCTATGAACAAGGTAGGGAAAAACTCTTGCTGCTATTAGAGCTATGGACAGTTTCTCCAATGTGTGCAGAACCAAGCAGGCAGGGCAGTAAAACTGTCATTCCTTGCATATAACCTACTAGCGTGTCCCCGCTCCTCTGCTCCACGCACACTGTACGTGCTGTTGAGAAGAAAGCAGTTCTCCCCAAAACCACTTCAAAGGCTGGGAACACAGGGGCGCCCTTCCCAGGAAGGATGGCAGCTTGTGTGCACATGCTGGGGGGTGGGTGTTCATAATCAGAGATGCTTTTTGCCAGACAAGATGATTAAATGCTAAATCTCTCATTTCCACAGCATCTGCTTTTCCACAGCTAAGCAGAGAGGACTGACTACTAACTCCACAGATTCTGTTCCATGAGACAGTTGTGTAGGGATCRACACTGTGAGTCTCGGCTAGACATGCTCTGGTTGCTCTACCTGGGCCAGATAAACCCTAAAAGGTAACATTGCCATGTATCTGCCATTTGTGGTACACTGATTATATGCCAGGTATAATGGAATTGGAATGATTTTATTTAACTCTCATGACATTGAGAGAATCAGGAACTACTCTGTCTTACCAATAAGGAAACACAGGCTGACAGAGGCTGAATAATTTGTCCAGCCAATCGTGATGTCTATATCTCCTAGCCACTGCGATTTTCTGTCTCTCAAAGGCAGAATAAGCCTACATAGCTGTGGCTCACCAAGGATACCAGTAAAACAATATGATCAAAGGCTGAAATCCATGAGGTCCATTAGCCCTGCACCAATTCCCTGCATGGGCCCCTTTCCCACAGCCAAATTCAAGGGGGAGACTCCACACTGGGGTCAATGTTGCTGGTTCCTGTCCAGGTGTTTGGCTCTGGCAGGTGTTCAGTGTTTGCACTCCAACAAGAGACCTATTTCCAGGACTCTGAAGAAGGTGGCCTGTTCAGCCAGAAGGGGCAGAGCAGCCTCTTGGCAACCAAACTGATGCTATACTTAGTGGTGTGTAATCAGCTAAAATTCTCATCTGGATCCTACTGGACTCTGGGGTTGAGAAAGTGGTGAAAGGCAGGGCTAGAGATTTTAGGCAAATAATAAAACAAAGAACATCCCTTTATTGGCCTTATTATACCCAAAAGAAATTCTAGGTGAGGAATGTGACCTTAAAGAGAAGCCAGACCAGACCATGTGAATCCCGGGTGGGGAAGGCATGAACATSCAGGCAGCTTCCAGCTCTTCCTTTCTTCCCACTGCCTCCTTCCATTATCTGGGAGAGATAACAAACCATGCATGGGCTGGGCATGTGCTTCCAATTAGATATCTTCCCAGCTAGCTCCTGTTTCCTTTATCTTTCAGAGCTGAGCACATCGTGGGAACAGACACTAGATTTCAGGTTTTCTCCAAGCCCGCCCCTCCCCTCTCCTTTCATATGCATGTGCATTTGCATGACTCTCGAATTAACTGGGAACAGCCTGCCAGAGCAGTGGTGTCTGCGCTGAAGCCTCCTGCTATTCAGCAGCGAAAGCAGTCACAAACAGGTTCCCTCCTGCCCCAGGAACCAAGTGTGGGTAACAGGCTGATGTCCTGTAACCATATGGTTTCTCCCTCACTAGCCAGGCAGATCCTGGATTGGGTCCCCCCACAGGGAAGCTTTTCAGAAAAGAAAACTCTGGTTAGAAGAAGCACCTGGAGCTGGCAAAGTGGGGCAGTTAGCTCAATATGGAATTGAACATGAATGAATGAAGACAGCTACAAAGGGTAGCTCTCCCTTTACTTTTAAATGAGAGTTCAGTGAGAAGTCAACACAGACACTAGTCATAGCACTGGAGGAGAATCCACCCCAGCAGTGATTTCTGTTTGGATGCTACAGGAGCAATGTGAAGAAAAAAGCCAAGAGTAGCAGTTTATCAGTTTCCACAACCACACAAAACACCAGAATATAAGAGAATGAAGGAGGGAGTGAGTGGTATAGCACAGGGGTTCAACTGAGGGTTCTAGGGTGAAGCCATCAGGTTCTAATCCTCATTCTTCCACTTTCTGTGTGACTTTTGGCATATTACCCAACATTCTAAATTTTAGTTTTCCTCATCTGTAAAACAGAGATAATGACATGAGCTACCTCATGAAGATGTGAGGATTAAATAAGATAATGCATTCCAACTGGTGAATTAAAATAACAGTAGATATAACAATGTAACTGGCTTTTCCCATACCCCAGAAAGCATCCTAGGATTCAGGATGGGATGCAGCAGGGAGGGAGGTCAAAGTCTGAATCTGAGAGAACTAGTTAGTGAGCAAACCTATTTTGCTTCCTGGTAAGCCAGGGCATCCCAAAACAAAGACAAGACAGAGATACCCTGCTGTTTTCTATTCATGCTTCAGATCTTTATAACTCAAGAGAAAACAAATCCCACACTAGTAATTTTTAGCAGCAAAAACAACAAAAAGCACAGCACACATGAATGAGATGCAGGTGAGGACAAATTAGCGCCAGGACAAAGCAAGAAAGAAATTTGTCATTAAACTGTCACAAAAACTACCTAGAAACTCACCTTTCTCTAAATCTGAATGGACTCTGGTGACCAAGCAGTCAAAGGCAAAAATCAAATGAGCAACATATACACCTCCAACTAACTCTCATGCTGTCAGTCACACCACACACACACACACACACACACACACACACACACAAACAATCCCACAGTCACTTTCCAAACTCGCCACCATTGGATCATTAGCCAAAGCATGTTTGGTTTTCTGGAACTGCAAACACGAAACAGGGAGAAGACTCAAAAGGAAAGTCAGCCAGCACAGAAGGAACAAAGGAACAGTGGTTTGGGTTTAAACCATGCTTTGCAGGACACAGAGAAAGTCTAACCTAGAGATCTTTTTCTGACCCAGAGTGAAGCGGATGATTTTGCTCTGAGATGAGTCCTTGGATGAGGCACTGCGTGATAGGGAAGAAAAGAGTGGAACAGATGAGTGAGGAGAGAAAAGATACATTAGACACACAAACCTTAAGAGCCTAGCACAAGGAGGCTTTTTCCCCTCCACACACTTTTTTCCTTCTACATCCAACTTCACTGATACAATATATTTCCAATATGAAGAAAGTGCAATCAAAACTATTTAAGAACTTTTATGCTTCCCCCCTTAAATACCAATATCTTTCCTGCTTCCAGTCAGCACAGGTTTTCTTCATACCTTTCTAAAATTACAAGATGTTTAAGGTATAAARTATTTACAAGGCATAAAATAAAGACGCTTAGGTAAAATATTACTTTATACATTTCGGAAACATTGAGATGTATCTATTTCATAGGCGTGTTCAACTGGGGTACTTCTCAGGTACATAACCTCAACAGTCCATAAAGTCGATCCCAAACAAAGGTATAGGTGCTGTAAATTTTGCTGGTCTTAGAAATATTTGCTTTTACTGCTATAGAAATGACCACTTAAAGCCTGTTGAAATTTTGAATTCTGGTGGCTTTTTTTTTTTTTTGGACCATAAATTTGTACATATGAAGAATCTTGGTTAGGCTAAATAGAAGAACAATTTGAAGTTATTTACTGCCTTCTGAATCATAGAAGTATTTCTCTTTCTTATATTCATGTATCTTGTACCATGATCATAAAAGGATCTGAAGTGAGAAATGCAGTGTTGGTTTCAGTGTTCTTACAAAATGAAGAGAGAGAAAAGAATGGAGAGAAAAAACAAGTACTTTTCTAGGATTTTTCCTAAATAACTGAATATTGATCATAGGTAAGGTAGACACAGATAGAGAGAAATGTGAGTCTTGGAGACTGTTCTAGACGCTAGATGGGTGAGGAACTTCATGGGGTGATATGTGGTTCAAGTTCTCCGCCACTATGTAAATTGTGAGAGTTGCTGAGGGGAAGAGGTAGAGTGAGTCTCCACAAGGGTGCCACAGAGGAGGGCTCTGAAACCTTCCTGCCAATTTGTTGGACTTCCTTTGCAACCCTCCACAACCCCTTCATTAGCCAACTTCATGGAAAGCTGCCAAGTTGTAATGCTCACCACCCCCGCCCCCCAAGAAGTGCTGGACTTACATGGCTTCAAAATGGTGCCGAGGCAGGGTTCTAACCGGAGGCCCAAACAAACCCGGCATCTGGGACTCCCATCAACATCGGACACCAGTGATCAAGGGTCYGGTCATTTCCACTGGGCCTGGGTTATCAAAGCTAGAATCTGGGGCTAGCAATACAATGGCACTGAGCCAGAGATGGATCACATCATTCTTAAACTTATAGCTAGAGTGTTAGCATGGGATCTCACATCACTAGACCTTGAGAACAAGATTATCCTGTGGAAGGAGCAGTAGAAATTATCCATACAAAATGGACAAAACCAGCCATCTGCAGACACAACCCAAACCGGACAAGATAAAGGTGTAAATGATGATATACAGCTACTGTGGAGCCCCACTCTATAAAGTCACCATTCTGTAGCATCAGAAAGTCAGATTGGCAGGAAAAACTGTGTAGCTAGAATAAATGAATGCACAGGRTCTGGGGTTGTGGCTCAGCAGTAGAGCGCTCGCCTAGCATGTGCAAGGTGCTGGGTTCAATCCTCAGCACCACATAAAAATAAATAAATAAATAAATAAAGGTATTGTGTCCAGCTACAACTAAAACCAAAATATTTAAAAAAAAAATGAATGCACAAACCTGGCTTAAGTGAGTTTGGCTTGTCTTTAGACAAAGCATTTAGTACCAGGACTTTTTTTTTTTTTCCTTACAGGGAGATGGGTGCTGACTAGAACATCTGGTTCTAGTAAGAAAACAAACACCTACCATGGAAACAGATGCTTTTCAGGGTAGCATGGCTCAGTGACCCAAAACTGTGTGTCTGAACACATGTTCYTTGGAACCCTATACAGTGAGATGCTTTATAAAAATAGATGCTTCTTTCCACCTCACCTTCTGCAGGTTTACAATGCACACCTGCCCCTCTTCCAGCCTTCCTCATCTCAATAAATAATACCACCACTTAGCTAATTGCTTGAGTCAGAAATCTAGGCTTCACCTGGGATTCCTCTCTTTCTCTCACTCCAGAGAAGGAATCTGTTTCCAGGCCTCTAGGCTCAAACTCCAAAATATCCTGCATGCATCCATCTCCATACCAGTCCTACCAGCTTTATCTTAGCCACTATCCTCTCCCGGACTGCAGAAGCTTTTTAACTGGAATCCTTTCTTCCATTCTAGCCCATCTACCATTATAGTCTCCAAAGAGAAGCAATGGTGATTAAAAAAAAAAAAMAMAAAAAAMCCCCTGTAAATCCAATCAAGTCTTTCTCATACTCAAGACCACCCCCATGTCTTCCAGTTATCCTTAGAGTCCAAACTCAAAACCCATGTTTGACAGCAAGTACTTTGTGACCTGTCCTCAGTGCCACAACTCTCTTCCTTAGACATGGTAGCAGCCTTCTTTGCTTTCAGGTTCCTTAGAGAGACCCTCCCATCAACCTAAATGAGTGACCCAGCACCTCCAAATCCCATCATTCACCACTGCCTGACATTTTCCTCCATTAATTCGCCCGTTTTTTCAGCCTCCTTTGGTAGCATGCAGGGAGCAGGTGCCTTGCTTGTCTCACTCATCCTGACTCCCATGTGCCTAGAACAGTGCTGGGCACATAGAAGGCTTTGCAGTAACTAAATACAAGAATGCACATTGGCAGTTTCAAGGATCTGAGCAGACTTGCAATAACAGTTGTAACACCCTAACCCAGGTTATCTCCCAATTTCTACCCCCACAGAATCCTTCCCTCGTAATACAACCCAAGTGAACACCCTAGGAAGTAAATAAACTCTACAGAATGCAGTTTGGGAAATGATACCCTGATCTTTTAAGTCATCCAATGCCAAGGAACCTCTGCCCAGGGAAGGGCTTCTATGCGGGCAGGTCTCCAGGGAAAGTGGGCAGTGCCTGGCTGCATGGCTGTCTGTTCCTCATTGCTATTCCAGGCATCTCTCCTATCCCACGAATTTCCATAATGGATATAATTAGATAATTATTTAGGGGGCCTGATTCACATTACACCCATCACTGCTGGTCTGAACAGCCTCACAAGTGGAAAATCACACTTTTCGTGAGAAAAAAAGGCTGCAACTATCCATAAGGCAGCTGTCAGACTTGAGCAGCTTTGGGTTTTGCCCAACTACCACAGGTAACAAAGGGTATCAAGGTGTTTGAGAAGCCTTATGAGTATCAATGCTGGATTCTGGGACACTGGAAAGAAAAGGCATTACTTTGTGGCACACATTAGATAAAATCAAGCAATCACTTTGATCAGTGACATCAGGTTTTAAAGATTGACAGAAAAGAAAACAATTATTATGAGCTTTTCCGCAGAACTTTATCATAAGCCAAGAACTTTCTAGTTCCTAACCCTCTACTTTTATTCTGCCATTAAAACAAATGATGAGCTGGGAGCAGTGGTGTACACTTGTAATCCCAGCTACTGGGAAGGCCAAGGCAGAAGGATCTAAAATTTGGGACTAGGCTCAGCAACTTAGCAAGGCCAATTCAAAATAAAAAAAAAATTAAAAGGGCTGGGGATGTAGCTCCGTGGTAAAGTACCCTTGGGTTCAATTTCTAGTACCAGGGTGAAAAAATGATTTGCAGGGCAATCTTCTGCAGAGTTGTTTAGGAATGCAACTACTCCCACTGTAGTAGAGGAGACAGCCACTACAGAGGCATGCCTCCTGTGCACTGCTCTGTGGTGAGTAGGAGTGGCAAGCACCAGTCCCTCTGGGAAGGTTGGCCAGGTCCAGGCACTAATCCTTCAGGGATCAATCCTGTGCAATATGATTTTTCCCTAGGTTCAACATAATACAGCTCCCACCATGTAAGTTCAAGACAACCCAGTCACATTCATGGTTACTACCAATGGGGGACACCGCTCCACTTAGGGAAGATGGCTGGCTACTCCCGGGCTAACACCTGCCACTTTTCTTTGGCATGTTTTTTTCCCTCTCTGCTCTGGAAAAGTGGAGGCATCTGTTATAACAGAACTTTTAAGTAAAACGACTTAGCTGTCCCACTCCAAAATCCTTAACTCTGCTTTACCCAGTCATCCTCCTTTCAAAAGCATGGCTGTGTCTCTCTCATCTGTTCAATAAATTACTCCAACTTTGAGCATTCATCTTGTAGGCCAACACCCAGAAGGGGTTTGAAGTCTATTTTAGGGGCTGTTTATAACATATGAGCATGTGTGTCATGGGCCTGAGTCATGGCAGGAGCAGCTAATTAGTGTTGGCTGCTGGCAATGCTGACCTATAAAAGTACACATCTCTGCCAGGCACAGGAGGAGGCCCCTTGCATCCACTTCCAAGGTCGTGTGAATTCCTAACTACCAGTAGCACTTAGCATTGAAGAAGCTTGAATGAAAACCATAGATGATACAAATTATAATTTAGGGTGCGAAGAACATCTGAAAAACAGGCATTTCGGCCAGCAAGGAAGGAGCCCCACCTGGACTGCATTTCGGCTTGTGCTTTTGAGGGCTGATGTGGCGCTGGCTGGTGAGGCTGGCACGGGGCTTGGGGAGTGGCTGGCACCTGTTGCTGAGGAGTGCCAGCCTGGCACTGGGAGGGGSCCCCTGCCACCTGAGACCCAGCAGGCGGCAGAGGGGAGGAGAGGTGCTGCTTCTGGGGCTGCTGCTGTTGTTGCTTGTAGCGAGAGAGGCTGAAGAAGAGGCCTAGAATGGCCTTGAGGTTCCCATTCCTGATTTCTGCAAGACAATAAAGAGACTCTTGTCAGCTGTTGGAGTCCTTTCTTTTTCCCACTCAATGGGTCGCTTCAGCCCTCACAGGAGTTTAATTCCTAGAGGATATGACAGACTTCCTGAACACTTAATTGGGATCACAGTCAATTAAACGCAGGCCAAAACCACAAAGAAATTAGCTTATTCTCCCCTCTGGGATTAGAGTGGATACACCAGGCAAGTCGAGACTGGATGTCTGGCAAGTGCCAAGAGGAAATTCTCAGTAAGGACACCACTGAAAAGCAGGCTTCCCCAGCAAGACTGTGCTTGTTCTGCAGGCAAAGCGGCCGATTCTGGACAGAGGCACTCTCTGGCACTCTGAGAGACGCACTGGTCTGGCCTGCTCTGCCAAGTTCATGTTCCAAGCCTCGAGCCACACCACGCGTGCCAAGTGGCCACCATCCCACTCCCAAATCCTCACTCTGCTTTACCCACTCACCCTTCTTTCAGATACACGGCTCTGCCTCTCCTGTCCATTGGATAAATAACTGTAATTTGGGATGGGTGTAGGGACAGACTATAAGGACTGGCTTCCATGAGGAACTCATACAAAATATCATATTAAAATAAATTAGAACAGAGTGGGAAGCACACTTCTGTTATTCCAGACAGTAATTTTTAGGATGTTAAGATGCCTTTGCCTCAAGGCATGCATAAAGAGTTGTGGAGAAGAATAAAACATTTATTCGCAGGCAGAGGTTATGGATCGCCAGGGTTTCTCCATGAGCCGTTCCTCCTTTTATGCAGTATTTTAACACCAAATGCTGAAAGCAAGAAGCTAAACTGACCCTAAGGGGTAAGGTCCAGGGCCACCCACAAGGAGGGACAGGAGGAGATTTGTGGGGAAAACAAACCCGGACCCCTCTGCTTCACTGCAGCCCTGGACTGGATTTCTTCCCMAAAGGGCAAGGGGCAAAGAAGGACACGCACAAAGGAAGCTCTGGGGCCTTGCTAGAGAGGTGGGGGGTGCACACCCCGCATAGCACTGAGCTGGGGAAAGGCTACTCATGAAGAAACAGTGCTTCCTCCAGGGCCAGAGGAGAGGCAGAGATGTGAATGGAGTCCCTTCTGAACAAGCCCTGTCCCCTGCACAGGAGGAAGAGCAGCCTGCCAGGGCATTGGTCTTGGTGTGATCTGCTGTTAGGCCAGAACTAACTACTTTCTGCTGGAGTACCCTTTTCTCCAGGCACTGGAGAAACTGACAGGACCCACCTCTGGAATCCAGCCTTCACACAGTACGTTGGGAGCCAGCAGGTTCTGATCACGGAACAGAGCCGACAGGAATACAACAGTCAGAAAACCTAAGCCATGAGTTCCAATCTGCACTCTATCAATCTCTTGCTGTGCCACCTGGGGCAAGTCACTTAATCTCTCTGGGTCTCAGGAAAATGACAACATCAACACCACCCAGGCCACTATACAAGGTTGTTTTGCATATCAAATGAGAATATATGTGTGAAAGTGCACCGTTTACAGTGAAGGACTTTGCTGCTCTTAGTTACCTTATGTAAACAAAAGCCCCGGAATCCTGAATAAGATTATCATACAGCTCCAGCTTTGATGGAGACTCACATGAAGAAGTCACACACCTGTAGCCACCTGGGTGGACAGTGACAGGAGTGAGGGGAAAAGGTGAAATAAGCCAACCATGTTCTGGCCTGCAGTTTTGCACCTAGGAAGAAACTTGGGGAAACAGACAATTTTCTCTCAAAACTGAAATAACTGGAGGCAGAACATAATGCTAATCATGGGGAGAGAGGCAGCCTGGGTTGCCTTTTACAGTGATCAGGTTGCTGCATGGTTTATACCAAGCACCATTACTAGTAAGAATGTGCCAGGCTGACCTCTTCCCATGCACCATCTCCCTTAATCCTGGCCACCTGAGAACTAGGTCGTGCTACCCTTATTTTGTTTATAGGGAAGTAGAAGTTCAGAAAGGTTTTATGACCTTTCCAAGGTAATGAATTCTGGAGCTGGGGCCTAAATCCAGGTATTTCCAGCTCCAAGTCTGGTATCCTGACATGGTCTAACTTGGCTTACATGTATACCCAGTCTGTGTGATGAATTTAAAAGGAGAACAGATAATGTTCTATTTATTAAGCTAGCTCTTAGGCATATGAGTATTCTTTATTCTTCTGGTGTGTCAAACATCCCAGACCATATTTTATATGTTGTTGGACATTTATTTATTTATTTTTATGTGGTGCTAAGGATCAAATCCAGTGCCTCGCATGTGCTAGATGGACGCTTTACTGCTGAGCCACAACCCCAGCCCCTCTGAATATATTTTTTTGAAACTATGTAAGAAAACAAAGAGGAGAGGGACTTAACAATTCAGCATATCCATGGGCTCAGGGCTGCCCACTGTGAAAAGTCAGTACATCCCTGTCAGCACCCCCATAAGCCACCAGCCAACCCCACTGCAGAAGATGGGGCCGGTGCCGTCTCTGTCTCTAGCTACTGTGGTCATCAAACCATTCACTGCTCATACCGGTTTGTACCATTGTTCCTTAAAGCATGTTTAGCTGCCAAAGAGTATAATTTTCCTCTGGCAAATCCTCTTTTTCTTAGGGGACAGCACTATCACAAAGAGCAGTGATTTTCTTGGAGCCAGAAAAATCTGGGGTCAAATCTCTATAGTCCATTTGCAGACTGATTTGTTGCAAGATTCAACCTCTCTGGGCTTCAGTTTTTCTCTCCTGTAAAATAAGCGTATGTCGCATAGCACCTTCCTATGGGGCTCTTAGGAGAACTAAGTGAAGGTGGAAGGAGAAAAATGAGTGCAAAGCACTTGGGACCTTGCTTGACTCAAATTCACATTTTGGCTCAGAAAATATGACMCCCCCCCCTCACCTGCAGCCTCCTCAGAAACCCATTCAGGGCTCTCTACCCAAACAAAGCCCAAGAAGAGGATCGCTCCCTTCTCTCCCTAGGCCAGTCACYGGTACCTAGAAGGAAATCAGTTATGAATAATCTCATATTAGAGAAAATGCAATGGTGACTTTCTTTCTGATATTTAAAACAGCTTTATGAAGGTACTATATAATTTCTATCAATAAAGTTAGGTGTTCAACTCAGTGTTTTTTAAGTAAATTTAATAAATTTACTTACATTTAATAAATTTAGTTTTGGGATATTTCTATCACCCAGAAAGATTCCTTATACTCAATTGCAATTGATTCCCAAACCCACTTCTAGGCATCCACAAATACACTTTCTGTTTCTACAAATTTGTCTTTTTTTGGATATTTTATGTAAATGGCATCATGTAATATGCAGTTCTTTTGCATCTGGCTTCTTTCATTTCACATCATGTTTTAAAGGTTGGACTATGTTAGAGAATTTATCAGTTTCTTTATATTGCTGAGAAGCATCTCATCATATGGATAGGCCATATTTTGTTTACTTTTCCCACTGATGATGGACATTTGGATTGTTTCTTTTTCTTTTTATTTTTTTTAGATCACACACACAMAAAAAAATYAAGAGTGGTGGATGCTCTAAAAGTCCAGAGTCTAAACCATGGGTGGTCTACAACAGACAGTATCCAAAATAGCTAGAACTGTGTTCCTTCCACATTTCCAAGGTATTTGTCTGTGTTCCACGAGGCCTGGTGAGCCAGCTCCATAGAGAAGTCTAAAAACAAAATCTGCAAGCCCACAAGAATGTTTCCCTCATGGCCCTTCCCAAGGTGTGGGAAAAGGACTATCATTTAGTGTCTGATCCACACACCGCACCTTCTAGACTTCCTTCCTTCTAGAAGGAATATACACAGACCTAAGTTGTTAGGCTATCGGTGACTTGTCCCAGGGGACCCTAGCTAACTGAACACTGGAATCCTGCTCTTCCTCTTCCTGCAGCCACCCTCATGCAAACTGGAGGACAAACCGCACAGGTCACAGTCCCATTCTGTTAGAATGTTCCATCGCCTGGTGCCCAAGTTCTTTGGTTTCTGGCTGATCTCTTTGTCCCCACTGGCTGGTTCTAATCTGCGGAGATGCTGTAGGTAACATCGGGCATGATGGGAAGCGAAACAGAGACGTTATTGTCTTTCAACATTTTTTAAGAAAAACCTCAGGCCTGGTTTCCAAAGTAATGGAATAATCCAATACCAAGAAACCTGCTCTAGCGAGTAGAATGATTTGAAGCCAAAAGTCAGGCTGCTCTGCAGCAGATCACAGGGGTGCAGGACTCCTATTTGATTCCCCACTGCTAGAGTTGTGTGAGGCTCCCTGACTCACAGGGGACTGTGGTTCCTAGGGTCTGTTCCTGAAGATGGATGGGCTATATAACTGACATGGGCCACCTCCCTTTCCACCCACTCCTGTGGCCCTTTGGGTCCTGCCCACAAGCCTGCCAACTGTGCTCCTCACAGGGGAGGAGGGATGAGAAGGTGGGGGCAGAGCCTCTGGGGCCACTGGGACAGAGGAACAAAAATAGTCCACTGAGTGCMCACTCAATTGATGTGGGCAGGAGAAATGGGAACATTCCACCTGCTTCCTTTACCCAATAGGTCCAGTGAATGCCCCTACTGTCTGGCTCAGGATGAAAGGAGGAGCAAGCTCAGTCTCTAGGTCTCTGGCCATCAGGAGAGAGTTGATCGAGTCAGTGACAGATTTCCCTTCAAAAGCACACGCTCCTCCAGAGTCACCTGCATGGATCTTCCTGCCTCCATTTCTACAATCTGCTAGTTTGATAAAGAACCAGCCCTTTGCCTCCATGTCCCATCTGCTGACGAGGCTTCCCTTCACCTCACTTTTTCTGCCTGGCAAATGAGCTCTCATTCCAGAACACCCAGGAAAATATCACCCCTTTTGTGAAGCCCCCCTGGCTGCCCCAGGTGCAGCTGACCTGCCTTCCCTTGGCCACCAGTGAATCCTGTAGCTAGCAGAACTCTCTTACTAACTGAGATCAAGGTAGTTTTATACAATTGAATTATCAGTGACCCTCAGTACCTAACACTGTGCCTGGTATATAGGATGCACCCAGAAAATACAAAAGAATGTGCATTACTCTGGACCTCTGCTTCTCCACTGAAGGAGGTTGGGGGTTCAGGGTCAAGTAGTACACAAAGCCCAGGTGATCTCAAAAATGGCCAAAGATGAGGGTCATTCTTCCTCCCAGGGGCAGGTTGACAGACAGCTGTGACAGGTGGAGTTCCTGTCAGGAAGGATTAGAGGGTGGATCTTGATCATCACCTCAGGGAAGGAGAGGTCTAAGCCCACAGGACCCTGGCAAGGCTCTAAGAGCACAGAGATGTGTCTGAGCTTCAAGCTGCAGGAACACTGAGGGGGCAGGAGGTCTGGGCCAGGGAAGGCCCACACCAGCAGCACCTCCAGGGCTGGGTGGCTGCAATTGCTGCCCCCAGGCACCCGCTGTCTGAGCCCGGGAACAAAGGCTCTCTGTGGCTCTCTAACTCGCAGGTTGGGGCAGGCCTGTGCTGCAACCTGCAAGGACAGGTGCACACACCTTCCTGGTTGTGAAGCAGCTGCAGTCACTGGGAAAGGGTGGAGATGTACCTATGGGGCTTTCCAACCACCATGTGTTTGTTTTTCATCAGAGGAGGCACCCCAGGGCACTCAATCATCTTCAAAAGGAAAAAAAAAAAAAACATTAAAACTACATGATTCTTTTAAACACTAATGCTTTTCTAATAGATATGCAGGTGGCTGGAGACAGCAGGCCCTTGAATCAGCAGAGGAGGGCAGCTTAGCCACTGCCCATGGGTGCATGTAGCATCCCGTGTATAACTTCAGCTCTTTGGGCCTTTGTTTCCTAATCTGCTTGATGGGGATAACGGCAACACTGACCTCAGTGAGTTGCCAGGGGATTAAATAAGACACGAATGCTCAGTGACTGACACATGGTATGTTCTCAATAAACTGATCCCATCCTATAATCTGACAAGAGGTCAGGTGAGATATTCCCTGAACCCTGAAATTGTGAAATTATTTGATGACAAAGGGCTCTAAGTTTCCTCTCTCTTTATAAGGTCAAGGAGACTTTTGTAGTTCAGACTCAGCCTCGGCACCAATACTATCATTGCTCCCTATCCTCCCCTCCAAAGAAATCCATATGAAATCTAATGACAGAATGTCATTCTGAAGGGTGATGCCTGATGATCATGGAGAGAGGAGAACTCCTCTCCTCCCCAAGGAACATGTGAAAGTCAGAGGACTGAAGGCTCCAAAAGAATCAAAGTGGGGATGCTGATAAGAAAAGGAACCTGGCCTTCCAGTCTCAAGTTGCAAATCTGCTTAGCAGACTTAGCCAATCTGCCTYGGGGCCACCTAAGTAGGGGGGAAAGAACTTATGTGCTGAGGGGCTGCTTCCAGGTGACAGGAGTCCTGCTCCACCCTTGCTACTGGAAAATGGAGCATGTTTTCCTGCTGGTTCCATATCAGACATTGGGGTTTATGAGACCATGGTGAGAGGGCTGGCTGAATCTTACCAAAGAAATACCAGTGGCCTAAAAGCAGCATGGGAGTGAGTCCCATCAGAAGGGCATGCTGAGCCCACCTGGGACRGTGACCATTACGGTGACCAAGAGGAAGATGGCAACTTCATCAGCATAGAACCCTATCTCCTCCACTGCCCAAACCCTGCAGTCTCTGGCACAGGAACCAGGAAAGGAGAGAGGAAGGGAAGCCTTGCCACCGTGCCCCATTCCCCTCCAACTTATTGCAGGCTGGGGGTGTGGGGGAGGAAAAGAGCTTTGAGTAGAGAAATTTAAAAAGGAATGAGACTGAGTCAAAAACATGGACATAAAGCTATGCTAATAACTGAACGTGACTGAACAGTTATGGATTCTGGCCAAGATATCATTAAGWGAGTCTCAACCCAGCAGGGGAAGATGGGGGTTCAATACAACACAGTTGGGGGCTGTTATTGAAATAGTGTAAAACCACTTTGTAGTTACATCCCAGAGTCAATCACCTCAACACACTGTTCCAATATGTTCTCCTGTGCTCGGGTCCCACAGGTCAGCCCAACATCAAAAAGGGGCAGAGGGCAGAATGTCTCCTTGCACACGGTGCCACTGAGGGCCACACAACACCTTCTCAAACCACGTTCCAGGGAACAAAGAGCTCTAAACCCAATTTCTTTCACCTCTATGTGGCACATGCAGATTTTATTCATCTGTCATCCCAGAAAATGTCATAATGATGAGCTCTGAAATCTCACTAGCCTGGGTTCAAATCCTGCCTCTGCCACTCTCTAGTGACATACCTCAGGGGTGCACTCATAACCTTTAAGCCAAAGTTTCGTATCTGTAAACTAAGGGTTTTATAAACTCCAGCTTCAGTTGTGAGAACAGAAGTCAACATAGATAAACCCTTAGGAGCATAGTTGGCAATTATTCATTCAGCAAATACTTATTGCAGAGGTTTCTATGCTTTAGAGTACAGAGAGGATGGGGCAGATGTGGGGAACAAATGAGACAGAGGGCAAGACAATGGGTAGGTGCTGAGCAATTGGGGGCAGGAGAAAGCAGGCCTGCAGGATCTGCATCCCCCAAGGCCTTGATACTAACCATAATTCTAGAAAAGTCCCTGTGGTGCTCTACTTGGGGGACATTGACCTGAACCTGGGGTCCATTTGTTCTCTGGAAACTAGGAGGAACATGTCCTGCCACCTACTGGTCAGCCCAAGAACTCCCCACCAGGAGGAAATCCCGTGTTCTCTCAATGGGAATTTGCATCTCCCTGCCATCACCACCACCAGTGAGCCCCAGCAGTGAGCATTCTACATGGATGATGGCCCAYACCCTAGGGCAGAGGAGTCTTCCAGGGATCCTCCTGTAAGAGCAGGGATTAAGACTGACCACATTACAGTTGCTTCTCAGGCCTCTAGAAGCAGCATGACCATGCCTGCCTGGGGACAGGTCCAGTATACCAGAGTTCCCAAACAATCTGAACAGTCATGTTACACCTAAAAGCCATTAACATTGGCCATTTATGCTACCTACCCCCAATGCTGGAAGAGACTACAGCTGAGGAACACAGCCAGAAAAACCAAGCTTTCACCAACTAACAGAGCAAAGTTGAGGAATGAACCCCACAGAGAATCCATCACATTTCCAAACTTACCTGCTCCACTTGACTGCTTCTTTCCTCACTGCTCCCCTCTGCCTCACCCTGGCCCCTCCCCGGGGTCCATGCTCATATGCCTCTTTTCAAAAGCACTCTTGCTGGGGAAAGGTGTATCATCTGAGATGCTTTACCTGTTCTGGGAAAGCTGGAGGCAGGTGCAGCCTAATGAGTTTGGGAGGACACGGGGCCTATGGCAGAGTCTGAGCTGGCAGCTGCTTGTATTTACAAACAGGAGAGAGAGCGAATGATTCCAGGTTAGGTGTTGCCTCAGGAGGTTGAGGATTCCGACCAGTCAGCTCCAGACCCATACGAAATTTAACCGTAAAACGCTAGCAAATGCTAACGTGCTAATTAACCACCAAATTTAAGTCAATTAAAAACTAATCCGGATGTAGAAATATAGTACTGCATTAATAAATCTCATGCTTTTTTTCCTCCCCCTTAAGAGCAAGGACAAGTGCTGCTTCTCTAATAAAAGATAAGGCTTAAGCATTTTCCCCTGGGAGCTGTACAGTTTAGCATGGGCTGCGGTGAAAGTGTTTTCTCTCCCACAGATAAGACCTGACTTGATAATTAACTGAGCCACCAGACAGGTGAATCAAATCAGCATTGTTGAAGCCAGTCCTTCTTCAACAGGAGCAGCTCACTCTTCACCACCCCCTCAGTGGCTTCCAGATGGCTGGTATGGCTGCAGATGTGACTGCCATTCTTAGAGTGATTCTTTGGGTTATCCTAAAGTTGGTTGAAGCTAGGCAAGCGCRGAGCCACCGGAAAGGAAACAAAACCAGAGGAGCCCACCAACATCCCTTCACCATGGTAACAGCACCAGTAAGTACCAAGCAGGTGGGCAGTGCTGACAGCAAAAAGGCAGCAGCAGGAAAAACCCTCTCACTCACCTTCTGCAGACAGCCCCTGGATGTTTATCCCCTTAGCTGCCAGGAAATTCAAGCAGGCATCTATGTTTTCAATCTGGTAGGGGGGAAAAAAAACAACAATTTGTATTTAATATTCAGCCTTCTCCCAAGCCATCTCTCATTAGGAACCAAGAGCAAATGGAATGCTGTCAAAACAGCCAATGGATGGAAGGATGGATGGATGGACGGATGGATGCAGCACAGGACTCCTCTTTGTCTGTGCTTGCTCAGGGAAAGGTTACCTAATATCCCAACCACACCGTGCCAAAATTCGAGGCCTTGGATTGCTCACAGCTGCCAAAAATAACCAGGGTGGAATGAGAGCTCTCATCTTGATCAGTGTCACCAATGCAATCCTGAAAATTTGAACAGCTGCCAGGAAAAATGGAGATGGGGACGAGGTTGGTGTGCCCACCCATCTCCCAGCAGCTGGGAGAAATTTCCAGCCACCCAAGCAGCAGACAGTCAGATGYACAAACGGTGAACGGGAGTTTCAGCAGGAATCTGGGTAGAGCTTACTCACAAAATTCTCAGGATGGCAGACGTTGCAGATGACCAGAGAGGGTTATGGCCTCCCAAACCTCTTTGTCCTTTGTGCTCTCTGTAGCAAGAAGAGACTCCCTGCCAGGGTCTGGGAGGCCTCCCAGGTTTGCTGGAACTGAAGCCACAGCCAAGGGCGAGCTGATAGCTAGCTCTCACAAGAGAACAATTAGGTCATCCCCAAAGGTTTGATCTGACTTCAGTTGTCAGGGCGAATTATTTTTTTGGTTTAAAGGAAAATGTTCTGGCTTGATTAATGTCACTGATGACCATAAATAAAAGAAATTGCTTTTGACCTGCACAGGGATCTTTGAATTTCACATAATTTGCATCTCACTTATAAGAACTCCACTCTCCTCGGCAATCGCTCCATCTCACTCACCTTCCCAGGCTCTATCGACATTCTTATGCACTCAAAGCAGTATTTAACCCGTGAAGTTTATTTTGAGCTAATAAACGATGATCTTTCACAGTATACATGTCTCCACGCTGCCTCCCCATCCTCAAGCAAATTCTTGAGGCCCCTCATAGCCACAGAAAGTGCAAAGCATCCTACATTTTAAGAGCCCTAATTTGAGTGGAGTCTGGCTCTGAGAGTCCTCCTGAAGTTCACATCTACTCTCCCACTGAGGTTGGCATTTTCCTTCTCTACCCCAGTCTTCACCTCTTTCAAATGCATTAAATGAAGCTATGGGGCAAAACTGTGCCCCTCCTATAAGAATCCACTCTATTCTGAGCGTGAAGTTACTGCATCTGTGTATCTTTGGCGCGGGTTTTCACCTCTTTCCTAGCATCTAGCCCACCTTGAAGTGTCCTCATCTGGCAGACAATTTCTTATTTCTAGAAAAAGGGGAAGAATGCAATTTCTTGCAAACAAAGCAAATGCCAATGTTGTAAATTATGCCTGCCACTATGCAGAAAATCAGCCCTTATAAAGGAGGAGGAAAATGATACTGCTTTTAATCTTTCTTCAGTAAGTCCCAGTAAGGTTCAAGTACTATCATCTTGGAGGAAGAGGAAAAGAAGGAGGGGAATGGCTACCAGTGCCCTATGATGTTTTGGAGCAAAATGCTTCCATRTGTAAGTGTAATAAAAATATCTTTGCTATTTTATCCTATTATCAAACTCTGCTTTTAAGAGAAATTATTAGCTAGAAAGGAAAATGTTAACTCTCATCCCTTGTCTCCTCTGTTGTACACAGTAGTGAGATTCCAAAAGCACTCAAGGGAGTTTGGTAGCCTCACAAGGAGACCCCAAGTCATGACAAAATTATGAAATTCATCTTCCGCTCCTGTCTCTTCCTATAATCCTATATTACTCCTTTATTACCTCCCACATGCCTGATGAAAGAGGCTTTGACAATTATGTCCCCATGGAGAAAAAGAAAAAAAAACTGACCATCCCTGAATCCCTGTTCATGCAAAAATTAAAAGTGGTTATGCTTGATATTTATCTTAGAAAGTGTCATGCCTGTGGGTTAATGTGCATGGGTTATGGTTTTTCAGCAATAATGCAGCATGTGGCACCCAAGAAATAGACATACACCAACACATTCAAGAAAAGCACTACTCTGCAGAAGAAATTTCCTTCCAAGGAGCAGAACATATATTTACTTGGCTTATTTCAGGAGCATTCAGTATACATGGTGGTGTCCTCCTGCAACCTAGCTTTTATCCATTTCAATTCAGCCATCTGCTGGGAATTCTTTTAGTGTTAAATTCTATTAAAAGCATGAATAATTTATAAGTAGGTTACCTGGAATACTTCTTCTGGGGTGTTGATGCTTTTAAAGTCATTATCCTTTTGTAGAATTTCATAATTTAGATACGGTTTGGTTTGTTTGTTTGTTTTCTGGTTCTAGGGATTGGACTCAGGACACTCAATCACTGAGCCACATCCCCAGTCCTATTTTGTATTTTATTTAGAGACAGGTTCTTACTGAGTTGCTTAGCGCCTAGCCTTTGCTGAGGTTGGCTTTGAACTCATGATCCTCCTGCCCCAGCCTCCAAAGTATTTCTCCATTGGAGCTGGGGGATAAATGGTGAAGGAGAGGGGAGAGTTGGTTCTGTTGGAAACATTTTGGGCTACCACCATGAAGGGAAGGAGGTGGTACTCAGTAATCTGGTGGGTAGAGGCCAGAGATGATGCTAAATATCCTACAATGCACAGGACAGCCCTCTGCAACCACAAACCTTCTAATCCACACTGTTAAAGTACTGAGGTCAATAAACTCTGAGTTGTACAATCCCTTTAATCATTCATTCAGTCACCAATGTGCAGATGTCTGCTCTGGGCCAGGTCCTGAGCTCCATTCTTTTGATGGTGTTGGTTTTTGTAAGAATCCTACAATGGATAAAATGAGGTAAGAAGGTCACAGAAATCAATGGCAGAGCTGTGGCTGGAACACAGGAGGTCCTCCTCCCCATCTCAGGAGCCTGCATTTACATAGTCCACAGAGCCATTTGACATGGCCATCCTGGTTCCCATACAGACCAGGGGGAATCAGAACAAATAAATAGGGGGAGTGTTAGGATCCTCCTTCACTAGGTGAAAGAGGCCCCAAACCACCAAGAGCACTTTCACCCAAAAGGGTGAAGAAATCCAGGGAGCAACATACATGGCAGGATGGCACTCTCAGAAAAAGTTAAAAAGAAGATCATCATTTAAAGGATCATTCACAAGCCTATCAAGTGCCTTGAATTTTTTCCCTTCCTTCATGAATTCTGTTCACAGACATTCCTGAAGTCTCAAACCCACTCTTYAATAATGTTCCATTAAGGTTAAAAATCACTCCTGACAAGGCAGTAGAGACCTGCACTCTTTTCATCTGCACCCCAGGAGGAGAGGAAGGCTGGGAAGCAGGAAGGGGTCAGATCTGGATTCCAACCTCCTGCTTCATTTGGAAAAAGATCAGAAAGGGAGACTTGCTTTGATCCAGGCCCTCTTGTGATTAAAATTCACCTTAAAGTTTTCTTCCAAATACTCTACAGGTAAATAATCCATCTTCATGTACTATTGAAATTTCAAACTCCCACCCCACCTCAAGAGGGGAACAGCCCAAACAGCAGCACCACAGGACCACTGCAGCACAAAGATGTTCTTCTGCCATCTCTAAGGAGGCTCCTGGCTCATGTGTGATCCAGACACCCACCATGAGATGAGGATTCAGTTAAAATTGAGAGGGCGAGCGACAGAAAAGACTCTTAACCAGAAAAGTATGTAAATATGGCCAAAGTTGTTCATTAACACATAGTGGCCAATATAAACCACTTTCCAAAATTAGCTAAAAAAAAAAAAATCTATGTGAAGCCTAACATTCCAGTGTCACTGAAGCGGGCGGGGACTGGGTGAGAAGGCTATGGTAGCTGTTACCATAGAAATGGGCTCAAGAGCTCTACAATCAAGTTGCTGGAGTTTGCAGCATTAGCTGGGGTGGGAAGCCCAGCCAAGGGACCACCATGTGGCTTAGAGGTCCCTGCAGCAGAAAGGTGTCATGTGAGATGTAGGAAAGATCAAGGGAAAGAGAGATGAAGAACAGGACACGCTTCCCCAGAATCCCCTTCCACTTGGTGCCAAACATGGGCTCCACCCTGTGCAGGCCTTTCTCCAGCCTCAGCTGGTACCTCCATCACAAAGTTGAATAGTTTCTCTGCAGTCTCTGGATTTCAGGTTTGCAGGGGCAACTTCCATGGGTTATGGATGTTACAGCTTTTGTCTTCCATATTCAGAAGTACATCCCCACCCATCAAAACAAATCCCAAACAACTGGAGAGAGAATCAGAGGAGGGAGGGCAAATGGAAAACTTTGCATTTCAATCATGATTAGGGCTGGACTGGGTCTCATGATAATGTAAAATATGCAAACCTCGGAAGTCCTGCTGTATGTCTCCTTGGTAGCTTAGAAACTGATCAAATACCATCTGTTGTGGCAGTTGTCATGGCAGCATTTTTCTCTGAATGCCAGCATAGCCAAGTGCAAAGCACATGAAAATGATTAATGCAAACGAAGACCATCTCTATGGGAGCTGCTACAGCCCAGAGCAAGATGGTGCTCTGGGCATATCAAGCAAGCAAAGAGCTGGTATTTATGAGTTAGGAGTTCCTCACATGCCCCTTGGAGATCTGCACCCTGGGAAGAGGGGCAAACAGCTGTTGCATTAAAATCAGGCATAGGCACAGTCATGTTTTTAAAAACGTGAAATGCCTAAAGTCCAGGCAATAGGAGATGTAGACCTCAGGCAAGGCTAAGTGAGAAGGTGAATGTGCCAATGATTCTAAAAGCTCAGTGCAGCTCCTTCATGAAACACTTTATCAGCTATAACGACTTGCTTCCGGAAATGCATGCGACCCCCACACCTGATATTGTTACTTGACATTAATAATCATCATCATTCATTCATTCATTCATTTACCTAGGCCTTCACCCAAATATACTGAGCACCTATTGGGTGTTAGGCAATGTGCTGTGCTAGGTATCTAGTGGTGAATAAAACAGGTATAACCTCTGACCTTGTA